GGGACGGAGAAGAGGGCGCGCTCGTGGGATTCGGTGTCGCGGATGAGAGATGTGATGTCGTGGTGGGATAGCAGGGCGTTGGTGAAGATCTTGGGCGGTGGGAAGCTAGCCAATAGCTTGTCAGCCGATTTCTCGTCAATCAAGAGCCATGTTCCAGGATTGTGCATACGGGAGAGAGTCGATCCCTTGGCATGAGAAGCCAATTTGGTCCAGGTGGGCCGATAGTAAAGACATTGTTTGGAAAGTAGAACGCGTTCGATGAAGGAGGGTGTAAGTGTTTCTCGAGAATAGCAACAAGGAACGATATCCGTCTCCCTTGTCCCAGGTCGGACGAAGTATGACCTCAGACACTCAATGATTCTGGGCGGAAACAGTGATTGATGATGATGGTGGAAATAATGGGACTTGCCCAATGGAGACATTTCCAAACAATGGGCTCTTATCTCTAGATCTTATCGATACGGCTCTGCTGCCCCGCGTTGAGTGGCGGGGTCATCGGTCCGCGAGGTGGGTAAGATAATTCTGGTGCTACGGGCGGGCTGGACCGTATGCGCAACATTCTACAACAGGATCAGCATCGACGTGATCAGTAGGTTCAGCCTAGGAGAATTCCTGAGGCTATTAATGATACACCGTTTTGCGTGATACCTACATGTAAAATGCATAATAGCCCAGTCAATTCAATTCAATGAACCCCGTTCGCTTACAATCTCAACGATAATAGCTGTCTTATTGCCCGCCCGGTCCTGCAATCTGATACGCTGACTTCTACTTCAATGCCACTCGCCAAATCTGCAATCGCCTGGGGGCTGGGAAATCCCAGCTGGGTGGGGGCAAAGTCAATCACGCGCTCAAATCAGGCAATCTTGCTGCTACGATAACGTGCTTCGTGTGTCATTGGACGGCTCCATCGCCCAGTCTATCTCGGTCTGTATCTGCAAATTCAAAGGCCAAATCCGCACCCACGCTTCATGCTATACTATTTGCTCTGAATCCTCCCTCCTATGTCTTCATCACCCTGGTCTATGCCAGCAGCCGCAGCAAAGGTAGATGGTTTTGTGTTGGGCGCCCGCATGTCCAAGAAAAAAAGTCTATATCAGGTATTAGGATGAAGGAAAAACAAAACAAATAGAGGAAAACAAAAAAATAAAATTGAACAGAGACTCCAAGGAGAGAAGGAAAGTTGGTTGATGAAACAAGACCAAAGGGTTACCCAGAGAGTGCCGTGAGAAGATCGAAAATGCACCGAAAAAAGTCCCATTGAGAGTGATCCTCCGTCTAAACATGCATAAAAAATCCTGCCCTCTCCCTATCATCCTCGACAATATCATATCATATTCCGACCCGACCTTGGTCTGTCTGCCTGTCCACGTCTATCCGCAGGCGGGGACGAATTAGCCAAGAATCTGCTAAATTTTTGGTTTTGCGTGACTGTGTATAGAACTACAATGCCCAGGTCCATGCATTGTTGAACAATTCAAAATCATGGGAGAGATTCGCCATCGTCATGAAGTCGTTGCTCATTGCCATCGTATCATTATTCAAGAAAACGTATAATCGTCATCGTCATTCGTTGAGAACATCAACTAGACTCGACCTCCATCACCTCCACAGTGAAGTACGGGAGCTCCCGAGCGAGATCCTCGTGGGGCTCATCCTCACTGGAGTCCGGCTCCTCAAGCTCCTCGATCTGCTCCGGCGGATCATGGAATAGCAGACTACTCCTGTGCAATCGCTTCCGCATCCTCTTGGCGCTTGACCCTACGTCATTGACATCCAGGAATCCAAAGTCATCGTCCGAGTCGCTCAGCTCACTGTGCGTTCGCTTCCCAACACTGCTAGACATGCTAACCCTCCTTCTGCGTCTAAGTTCTCGCTGGTGCCGCATAAAGGCATCCTCTTCACCGTCAAGCTCGATGTCATTGTCAGAGGTGGATGCGCTGCAGTTGAGGTTTCTGAACTCGCGCACCATGTTCTTGTCCAGCTCTTTATGCCACGAGCTGGAGCGACTTCTTGGTGGCTCGATTTCATAGGGGTAGAGAACCTCGAGCGCATCCCACTCGTCGTCCATCGGATCGATCTCTTCCAGGGTGAATTCAAAGACGGCAGTGGTGACTGTTACATGGGTATGGGATTGCTGCTCGTAATTGGCTCCGCCCTGGTCCTCATCGATGTCATCGTCATCATCGTCATTATCATTGGCCGCGCCACCACCAGGCTCATCAGAGTCCGAGGACTCCACCAGCTTGGGGCTGGACTCATTATCGTCAAAGTCCTTGATGCTCGAGGCATTGGGCGCACTCACAACGCTCACCCTCGCGGATGAATCATCGTCAGAGGAGGAGGAATCGTCCACGGCGGAGGAGGTATCGCCATGCGAGGAAGACGAGCGAGGACTTAGCTGGTCGGGGCCAAAAGTGGGCTGATAGCTAAACTGGTGGCCATTGCCTACGGGCTTGATATGGGGGTCATCAACCAGCTCATCGTCGTACTCAGCGAACGGAGGCTGGTGCCGAGGCTTGGAGCTGATTTTGCGAGACAGGCTCGGGGATGTGGTTGGAGTCTCGGGCGGTGACGCTGGGTCAGCGGTGAAGAAGCGGCGGTGGTGAGGGTGCTGGGTGAGGTCGCTGAGGTTGGGGGTGGACGGGCGCCGCCGCAGCCGCCTGTTTTTCGGCATGGTGCGAGAGCGACCTTGGTGGTGCAGCGCAGCGACGGGCGGGTGAAGCTGTGTTTCCAGGCGTCAATGGACGGTCCCAGAGGGTAGCGGCTTGTAGGCGAGAGTCCCGAAAGCCCCAGACGGCACAAATCGCAACTGGGTTGCTGCGTGTGCTCCCCGAGGAGGCAGTGGCACCAAGAGTCCGTCTGTGGTCTGGGGGTGGTGCAGGCGGTATGTAGGTAGTAGGGTATGTGTGTAGCACAGGGGCCGTAGCAGCAGAGGGAAAAAAAAGACCGGATCGCTGATCTGTAATCACCGCCGCACGCAATTGCAACCGCAATGTCTCGTGTGGGGTAAAACGGACGGCGAGGCAGAGGAAAGCCAAGGAAGGGGAAAGAGAGAGAGAAAAAGTTCGGACGCGGGGGTGGTGGAAGAGTCGGCCTGCGTACCGTTTGCGCAAGTGGATGTAATGTAGGTATGCAGCATGTATGTAAGGCAGGTATGTAGGTCTGGATAGTATGTAGGTAATTTATGTATGTAGGTGTTTGTTTAAGGCAAGCGCCAGCGGAGCATCACAGGTCGCAATGCAGCTCAAGGTGGGCGTGAAAATGTCGGGACGGAGCCAATGTCGACGAGTGAGGCGGCGTCGCGGGATGCCCTCGGCGGGGGGGATGGATGCCAGCGCCGTGCAGAGACAGGGGAGGCAGTGGAGGGTTGGGTTGAGGACCGGCCTGAGATGGGCACGATGGGATCGAGAAGGGGAGAGGGACGTACGAGCCGGTCTCAGGGATCGAGGCCCAGGTGCAGGGCCCCGAGGAAGAATCTCCAGGAAAGGGAAGATGATGTTATACTGCAGTTACTGGCGGCGATCATGATATGAAAAGAAGCCCGTCGCTGTCTCCTTTGTCAATGCGGCTGACCTTGACCACACCACACCATACAAGCGAAGAACGGAGAGTCTGGGTGACTGGGGTGCAAGAGGGGCACTGCCAGGGTCTGTCTTTTCTAGATTTCTGCCAAAAGCTGCCCCTCGTCTGGCCCAAGCGGAAGGAGAGAACCAATTGTCTGTAGATGAGCCAGAAAAGAGCTCGTGGGACAGCAGCGGGGGAGGGGAGTGCCACCGGCCAGCTGGTTGATAGCAAAATAATAGCACCAGATATAGGTGGCGAGCTGATCGAGTCGTGACCCTTGGCCTGTCAAGCGCTTGAACTGTAGGCTTTACAAGGAGATGCCTGTCAGGTCTGACCTACAGCCGTGAGACGAGCGTTATGCAGATCAGGCGGGCGTGCGTGGAGAGGGTAAACCGCGCAGGACAGAAGACTGGCTCCGTCGTTTCAGAGCCCTCAAGGACCTAAATAGAAACAGGGAAGTGGACGGAACCTTGAGCGCCAGGCAATGGTGATGATGGATGAATGAATAGCTTGGGTTTTATGATCAAGCTATGAGTCGCCAATGACCTGTGCCCGCAATGCCTACCTAAGTAATAATAGGCAAATATGAAATGCGTGATACTACTGGGAAGACACTAGCACGTTCGGTACTAGTAATAAGCAAGACTTATGTACTGCCGCTCATAAGATAGGTAGCAATGGGAGGTCAGAAGGATAGGGATAGGCCACAGAGGTAGGAGGAGCTATGCCGGGAGAACTAATTTAGTAGGAAGGCAGATGACCAAATGAACTGCAGCAACTCGAAAGCTAGCCGATGACCCTATTCAGCTATCAGCAAATACCATGCAATGCTCAGCACGGAAGGTCGGCAATGGAGTTGAACTGGACTAGAGAAACTGGTGGAAAGAAGAGAAGAAGAAAGAAAATTTTTCCTTGAAATTTCTTTATGAACCTGCATGGCAGGTCTGCGACCCAGTCCGGTGTGCCCTGAAGACTGGAGTGGACAGCAACCGCTGGCCGTAACCCTAGGCGCTTTATGCCTGCTGCTATTTGTGTATGAATCCAATCAATTGGGGTCTTTATGCAGAGGTCCCGTCCAAGAACTAGCCAGACCCGATGAGCCGGCTCTTCAGGCGCTATTGGCACTCTCCTACGCTCCTTGTTCTCGGTGATAGTGGGCCACGCCAACGCAGACTCAACTGCCATTGTGCCCAGCCAAGAGGATCATTACCACCATTAGGCACCAACTAGTCGGTAGTGGAAACAGGTACATTACTGCTAGTCCTGCATGTTTCTGCCAGTTTATGTCCAACTTACATCGGTGCCTTCTTTTTTGTTTCTTTTTTCTCCCCCTTCGAGCCATCCGATCAGACGGTGAGCCGGCCGGCGCGAACAGAGCCAGCTGAGAATTGCCCAACACCACCACATCCCCAACACCGTCAGCTCCCAAGGGTGGCGAGATGCAATGGCTGATCTCGGAATGCAAATGAGCTGTCAACACACCCAAAAGCAGCTCATCATCGATTCGCCAACGCACCCCACCAACAGCATCAAGGTTGCACACCAAAGCGACGCCTACCTATCGGCCTACCTGTGTCGTTGAGGTATATGTGAATGTCATGTGGGGATGGCGTCAGCTTAGGTCTTCCAGCCGCAGATAAAGCGATGAATGACGAATGTCCCAATCCTTCGGCCCGCGGACCAGCCATTCATGCAATTGAAAACACTCGTCTGGTTGGAGACTGCATCCGCGTTGGGTGGCATATGGCAATGCATAATCATGTGCCAGCCGACAGCCCCTATCTCACCGGAATCCGCGCGCCATATCACCGGCCTGGCCACAATGTGTCGCACCAGCAGCTATGTCCATGATTTGGTTCTCTCGTGCTGGAGAAGAGTCGGAGTGTGGTCTATCCAAAGTCCGTAGAAGTGTGGATCTGAAGGTCGGCTCCGATGATTCAGAGCTAGACCCTGTATATGTGATGTAGACCATGCATGCAGCCTCATCCCAATTGCGACCCTTGAGCAGCTTTTTCGACATATTATAACATTGAATCATCGTTTCGGATTTGTAAATCACGGAAGACCTTTCAAGTTCGCTTTTTTTTTAAGAACGTTAAACTATTAGAAGGCGCTGCTCGTAGACATTTGATGGATGTCTCTCCCCATCAATGGCGGAACGGCGCCTAATTTTTTCCGGAGTCTAGCGCGGACGTACCGCAACCGAAGGACCTAAACGCGCCAGACTCCGTGACTGCTGCCTGCACCCAAAAGTATAAGAAGCCACGACTTAGACCATCCTCGACATCAGCAGTACAGGCGGTATCGATACGCAGACGGCCGATCATATATCTTGCGACCAGTATTTCCGAAGACTCTGTCCTCCAGCCTCGGGGGCTGGACTGCATTGTTCTTGCAACACTTGCCATACTAAGCCATCGCCGAACCACGAATTGCGACCGGTTCGCACAGTGACTAATTCAAAGATGAATTCCGCCCCAAGCCAACAGAATACCCAGGGCCAGCCTCAGGGCCAAGCTCAAGGCCAACCGCAGCCCGGGACGGCGGCTCCCCAGCCTCAAGCCGTCGTCTATCAGCCGTCGCAGATTCGCCAGCTGCCACACCTCAGTGAGGAAGAGAAGACCAAATATGTCGCTGGGCTTGAAAATCTCTGGGCCAAAGTTAAAAACTCTCCGCAGGGAAGTCCCGAATATAAGCAGGCGACAGAGAAGATCTTCAGTTTCTCTAAGATGTTGACGGGGAAGATTCAGCAACGTCGACAGCAGATCGGGCATCAGCAAAGGCTACAGCAACAGCAGCAATTACAAGGTCAACAAGCCCAACAGGGCCAGCAGCAACCTGCACAAGGGCAGGCCCAGGGTCAGGCTCAAGCAGTTCAACAGCAAGGACAAGGACAAGGACAACCGCAACAGCGCCCAGCAGTGCCGCAACAAGCTCAGCAAGCTCAACCACAAACGCAGGGTGTACAGGGCCAGGCAAACCTGGCACAAGCGCAGACAGCTGGACAGGTCGGCCAACCTCAAACCCCGGCGCAGAATGCCACAGCACAAAAGCCAGGTGCCTTCCCCAACGGCGGGATCCAGAACCAAGCAACTCCCGGCACCCCGACCGTTGCGCAAGCGCAAAATCCACAAGCTCAAGCTCAAGCTCAGGCTCAAGCTCCCACCCCCAAGTTGCCGGAGAATATCGCCGCCCATCTCAGGCAGGTCAGCTTCAGGCCTCCTGCCAATCTCCTTGGCAAGGGTTCCACGGCGGAAGCTACGAGGTGGATTCAAGAGCAGAAGACTAGGTATGGCCGTGCTCTTCTTACCATGGAGAACACGAAGACGAGAGTTCGAGCTATTGAGAGGCAGGTCGCTCAAAGACAGGCATCTCAGAATCCCTTCACGGAAGATGAGATTAAGAAACTCAATGAGCAGAAGGCCAATCAACTCAAGGTGTACAATGAAGCCACCAAATGGGTGGAGCAATTCAAGAAAGTACATATTGTGACTGATGCAAGAGCCAGCACGCCAGCTCAGGCAGCACAGGGGGCACAAGGTCAGAAGCCGACCGACATAAACACGGCCCAAAACGTGACACAGTCAGTAAATGCGGCTGTTGAGGCTGCCAAGAACCAGCAGCAGCTGGCGGGTGCGGCCAACCGTCAATCCCCGGCGAGCACACCAACTACAAATGCGCAGGCACAACCTAACCGTCCGGCACAAAACCCTCCTCAGGCAACACCACAACAAACTCAACAACAGCCACAGCCACCACAGCCTCCGCAAGCTCACCCGCAACCCCAAGCCCAGGTCCAAGTGAAGACGGAGCCGGTTCAACCTCCCCCAGTCAACACAGTCATGGCCGCTCAGCAGGCACAAGCCCAAGGGGCTCAGCGCGTACAGACGCCCCAGTCGGCGACTCCGGTTCCTCCTCCCGGGCCAACACGAGCTTTGAGCCACTCTGCCGCCATGAATCTTGCCAACCAAAGAGCTGTCTCTGGCAATATCGCAACACATGGTCAGCAACAGCAGCAGGTCCAACAGGGCCAAACGCCGCAGCAAGTTGGCACTCCTACGTCCACAAACGGGGCCATGAACCAGAACATGGCTGCACAGCAGCAGCAACAACAAGCCGCGCCGCAACATCAGCAACAGCAAGGTCACCACGCACACCCGACAACTCAGCAAGCCACGATCCAGTCCAAGATGCCCATCCCCAAGCAGTTGCCGGAGAAGGCAACTGCCGTTCCACATGGCGTTGCGATTGGGGGAGGTGTTAAGGCAGGTCGCCCTACGATGTCACAAGGAAGCGGTACTCTAGGAGGAGTTATGAACCAACCAGCGATGGGAAGAGTCCCCGCATACAACAATGAGGCTGAGGGTGACCATGTTCTCAGCAAGAAGAAACTGGACGAACTCGTTCGACAGGTGTGCGGAGGTTCATCCGAAGGGCAGGAAGGAAACCTCCTAACACCAGATGTTGAAGAGGTAAGTGATGCAAAGCCGCACAATAGTCTCGACGACCTAGCATGCTAACTGTGTCCAGAATGTTTTGAACATGGCCGATTCGTTTGTAGATAATGTCCTACACGCCGCTTGCCGAAATGCCAAAGAGCGTGGTTCTAAAGTCTTGGAAATCCGCGACATTCAACTTGTTCTCGAAAGAACCTACAATATCCGCGTTCCAGGCTACTCGTCAGACGAGTTGCGAACGGTTCGCAAAGTCCAACCTTCTCCCGGATGGATTGCCAAGATGAGTGCGGTTCAGGCCGCCAAGGTTATGCCCGGGAAGGGCGAATAGACGTTTTCTCCTGTTACTTCTTAGTCTTTTTTCTTATTTCTACGACTGAAAGCCTTGTTGCTTCTAGATTTCCGGTTTGGTTGGTCAATTCAGGCGTTGGGAGGGTGATAATTATGGGCTGGCGATCAATGCTATGCTAGGATTTCTTCCTGGTGTTTGTAGTTTGTCAAGGATAGGAACGACAGAATGACTCAAATGGTTTTAATAAAAAACTCGATTTCCCCAAGTTCAGTCCTAACTATTTGTTCATTGCGTGCAGCTACGATTCTTCAGGGCTAAGCACAGTCCAGGGGATGGTGAGGTCGTGCATATTGATCCCATGTGACGGCTCGACTTGAGGTGCACATGTCAGATGGCATCCATTCCTCACCAAAACCCTCTCTGCCCATGAGACAGCCCTCATTCCGAAACCCAATTCGCCGCTAGTCTGGATACTTACCCAGATCAGCGATCTACACAGGTTGCGTGTCTGCTCGTGTGAGGTGAGGGGATTTCCAGAGGGAAAAACTGCACATAATAAGAAGGGAGAGATAGAAGGGACAACGACAAGCTCCATATTGTGCTGCTTGTCGCTGCAGACCAAGTTACACAGATCAATCTGTTGGCGAGTAGCAGCCCACCCTAGCAGGTGGCCACTTTCAGCAAAAAGGTCAAGGGTAGGTAGGTAGGTAAGGCAGGCAGGCAGGTGAGCTGGCAGGCATCAGCTCGACAACGTCACTTACGCTCGGGCCAGCGCACTACCAACGTACCCCAACGGCAGTAGCAGCAGTGCCCCAAGAGACACTTGGTAGTGCCTCTGGTACAGGGTACATTGGTCCCCACGCAACTTCCCCTAGATCGGCAAGTACCCTGCACATGCTCCTACCCTGTCGCCTAGCGAGCTGTAGGCGCGCCCCAACTTGGCGAGCTCGAATCTTCTGCATTCTCCCAATCAACGACGCAAACAAACCATCGCACACACCTCACCACCGCTCATCACCGACAGACCGAGGACAGGCACGGTGCAGGACTGCTTGATACACTCATTCGCCTCACCCCAGAGCCATCTTCCTCGACGAATTGCCAGCCACAAGGGAGACTCCAGTGCGTTGCTCGCCTGACCTGAAGCCGCTTTTGTCATCACCGTCACCATCGCCATATCATCCCTCGCTCAAGCCACACAGGCACCTCCCTCGGGTCCTCGCAGCTCTATAGAGTACCACGTACGGTCGCCGTCATGCCCGGCAAGACTCCTCACAACAGCGGCCGGAAGCCCGCCGAGAATGGCGTAAGAAATAACAAGGACGCCGACAAGGCAAAGGGCAAGAAGCCTGCCGCCAAGGATGGTGACGAAGAGATGACTGTTGTCGTTCCTCCCTCCAAGTCGACGAAGCAACAACAGTCTGGGGACGCTGATGGAGATGTTGATATGGCCGGCGACGACAAGGCTGAGGACAAGGTCGACCCCGCTGTCCAGGCCGTCGCAGGTAAGCTACCCGTGAACCCTGATGATCAGAGATGGTTATTTTTTCACTACACTTTGAGCACCACTACTCACACTCCCCTTCTGGCAGATATCAAGAGCAACTTTGCTTTGTTGGATCGAGCTGTCATCCTCTTCGATGCCCGATTCTCCCTTCGCGCCTTGCGATCAGTCTCCCTTATCCGCAAGCGCCTGACCCCCGATATCATCGCCCAAGCGATCGTCGAGACCTTCCCGGCAACCCCTGCTTCCGAAAATATCGTCAAGAACTTACTTGCCGTCATCGGCCGTGAAAATGTCACCCTTGGAAGCAAGTCTGGCTCAGAGATGGAGATTGACAGCGAGACGAGCAAGCCCACTAAGAATGGAGCGAAGAAGGAGATCAAGGAGATCATTCCCGAAATTGACATCTTCCTTGGCATTCTTATCCAAGTCCACCTCTTTGACACAAAGCAGTACGAGGAGGGAGCAGACTTCTCCCAGTACCTCTCTGAGCGTATCCAGACTCTCAACCGCCGCACATTAGATTCTCTCTCCGCCAAGGTGTATTTCTACTACTCTCTATTCTGCGAGCACATGGCTCCTCTGCCTCCTTCTCCAGAGTCACCGGTGGTGGCTATTCGACCTACTCTCCTCGCAGCTCTTCGAACCGCAGTCCTCCGCAAGGACATCGACACACAGGCATCGGTCATTGTGCTGCTCCTACGCAACTACCTCCTGACCTCGCACATTAGCCAAGCTGATCTGCTTGTTTCGCACACCCAATTCCCCGAAAATGCAGTCAATAACCAGGTAGCACGTTTCCTGTACTACCTCGGACGGATCCGAGCCATTCAGCTACGCTACACCGAGGCACATGAACATCTCACAGCTGCCACACGCAAGGCACCATCCAGCAACTGCGCCTTGGGTTTCTCACAAACGGCCACCAAGCTTCTGCTTGTTGTCGAGCTTCTGATGGGCGATATCCCCGACCGCTCAACATTCCGCCAAGCCACCATGGAGGAGGCTCTCCACCCGTACTTCTTGCTCGTTCAAGCCGTGCGAGTTGGTGATCTGGAGACCTTTGAGACCACGATTGCTGACCATGCGGATACCTTCCGAAAGGATGGCACGTACACGCTGATTCTGCGTCTCCGACAGAACGTGATCAAGACTGGCATTCGCATGATGTCTCTATCCTACTCACGGATTTCCCTCCGAGATATCTGCATCCGTCTGCACCTAGGCAGCGAGGAGTCAGCAGAGTATATTGTTGCCAAGGCTATTAGAGACGGTGTCATCGAGGCTACTTTGGACCGCGAGAGAGGATTTATGAAGTCCAAAGAAGTGGGAGACGTTTATGCTACGCGCGAGCCGGGTGAGGCCTTCCATGACCGTATCCGAGCCTGTCTGGCACTGCATGACGAAAGTGTAAAGGTATGTTGTACCCGATGACCAAAGTTTGATTAGATATAGTTGAACTTACGCTTTGATAACTAGGCCATGCGATTCCCTATGAATCAACACCGCCTGGAACTCAAGAACGCCCAAGAAGCTCGCGAACGCGAAAGGGAGATGGCCAAGGAGATTCAGGAGGGCGATTTAGACGAGGATGACTTGGGTGGGGACTTTGACGGGATGTAACTTGCGTACATACTTTCATGTCACGTGTGATACTGTGATCAAAACATACGGATATTGTTACCTTTGGGAGATTCGCGTTTATTGATTGCGTTTGTGGCGGTCCCGAGGATAGTGGCGAAAAGCTCCTGTTGAAGCTTGTGACCGTCACGGCTCACCCTACTTGTTCACACTGCGGAGGACGAGGGCAGGCAATGGGTGGATAGATGGGTATGGCATCCATAGAGAACTGCGCTGCGTGAGTAGTAGAAGCGCAGTGGTAATATGACGGCGCTTGCGAGCTCAGCTGTGCACAAGATGAATGCATGCGAGAAACATGTGAATCACTAAAGCAACCGAGCTGTCCTTGAGGTGTGGATGTAACAAGAGCATTGGCCATTGTCGCTTCATCCGGCTTGAAAGAGTAGAATGCCCCAGAAGAGGCGAAGGTTCTTGGAGTACGCCCTGCGCCCAAGCTTAAATTCCACCTTTGACATGGCATCACAATGCCGGGCACGCGCCAACACGCCGCCGCGCAAAAAGGCAAATGTGAGGCAGGGAGACGGCTGCTCATTGGCTGCGGATTGACTCAGCCTTACAGCCAACATGAAGAGCGCGCCCTGTGTCTGACATGGCGCATGAGATGACCCCGGCTCATGTCCAGATCGATCCACAGCGGCCTCACTCCACAATGGGCGATGACTGTGATTCACGCACGACCAACAACGTTAGGCAGACTTTTTTTATTTTATTTTATTTTTGACTTTATGGCTTTATGGCTTTATGACTCTTAGAATGGCATGGAAAGGCAAGGCAGTGTGTATATAAGATGGGCTGGTCTCCAGTTGAGAATGTCTTTGCTCAGCATCATCACACACCCTCACCGACCGAATTGACTAGAGCTGGTCAAGACTCGGCGGGTAAAATTCCACGACTATTCAAAGACCAATCACTCAATCAACCAGTTCACCATGGCCACTGCTACCCAAATTCAGTTGTCATCCTCCCCGTCGCTGACCACCAAGCCTGAGTTGGAGGACGGGGTAAACATGGAGGACATGGTCCATCTCGCTGGCCTCTGCCGCACCTCTCTCAACGCACTCAACTTGAACCTGCCTGATTTGAACCTGAATCTTCCTTACACTGCCGACGAGATCATCAAGCTACCCTTGGACAAACATCGTGTCCCGGATGCCCTCTTCAGCCTGCCTCGTCGCAAATCAGCCCGGCATGCCGAGGCCGAGGCCCTCTGCCGCCTCCTCGACCCGGCTCACGACGGCTCCTTGAGTGCACTCATCCGATATGACGCAGACCGTGTCCGTCTTCGTGCTTGGGCAGCTCTACAGCGCAAATATGACCGTCTTATAGCTACCAAACTGCACGGACGCACGACCATGGGCCTGTCTGGTGGTGTCGGGCCCGGTATCCCTCAGCCTGCCTGGTCCAGCCGGATCACTGGCCAGGGCCCTTGGGACCCGGTCAAGAAACCCATCTCCCTCGATGGGTGCCCCGCGATCCCTATGCCGGTCCAGGTTGCGCACGAGGACGAGCTGGCACCGTTCTTTGAGCACTTGCAGAACGGAGGTACCGACAACTTGGACGGCATCGAGGACGCGGTCGAGCTTGACGACGGCCGCGGTGAGCCGCACTATGGTGTCCACGGTGCCGAGTTCCGCAAAGGTGTCGTGTATGAGGATGGGCGCATGGATCTCTGCAAAATGGTGGTTGGGCCCGACCACATCTGGAAGCTCATGGAGAGCCTGCGGTCCAACAAGTTTGTCCGGCACTTCCTCCTGGGCAATAACATCATCGGCCCCTCTGGCGCTGCGGCCATAGCCAAGTTCATCCATGACCTCCCGGAGCAGATTGAGACTTGGTACATTGCTGGAAATTGCATCAACGGGGCCAGCTTCACTCCGCTTGTCGACGCCCTGGTCACGTCGCCCGCAGTGCGTCAGGTCTGGTTAAAACGTAATCCGCTGGGCTCCGGCGCCGCACACGACCTCTTCCGCCTGATTACTCAAACTGAGAATCTGAATACTCTGGACCTGGACCAGACCGAGCTGGGAGATGCCGGCGTGGCTGAGCTGTTCACCAAGCTCGCCGCCTACAAGGGGCCGGATGGCTTCAAACTCCCCCTGCGAAACATGTACATGAACGGCTGCGGTATCTCGACCAAAGCCTCCCAGGCCATCGCGTCATTCCTTTCGTCTCCTCACTGCGGCTTGGAGTCGCTGTACATGTCCTGCAACCCCCTCGGCAACGACGGCGCGCTGGCTCTGGCCTCCGCACTGCGCAATGCACCATGCCTCGCCCGACTGTCCTTACAATCAGTCGGAGCCAGCACCCAAGGTGTCACTGCGCTGTGCGAGGCCCTCGCCGGCCACCAAGCTATCCGATCCATCGACCTCGGCCAGGCGTTCGCAACCCAGGACCTCGGCCAGGCGTACAACTACATCGAGGAGGGTGCCCTGCCCTCCATCGCCAGGATGATCCAGTCGACCCCGCGGCTCGAGTACCTCAACCTCGCGCACTGCCCCGTCACTCCGCCGCAGCTCGCCTCCCTCCTGACCCCGGCCATCCTCGAGAGCCCGTCGCTGCTGTACTACTCGGCTTTCCCCATCCTGCCTGACCCAACCAAAACGGAGGCGACGTTCCAGCCCTCGCGCGACCACACGCTCGTCGACCCGGGCCAGCGGTCCAAGCTGCAGGTGGCCTCGGAGAAGGCGATCCGGGCGCACGTCGAGGCGCACGTGCGGGCCCGGTACGGCGAGGACATGACGTACGTCCAGTTCCTGGCGGACGAGAAGCGGTGGCTGGTCAACGACCGCGAGGTGCGCAAAATCGACAGCGTGTACCGGAACCGCGATGCTGGGCTAGCCCGTCGCCATCTGATGACCCTGGTGAAAGACTGGGACGAGGATGACCGTACTCTGGACGAGGTGATGAAGGTCGTGGGACCGGTCTGCACGCTGCGGCGTCGTTGAGGGGGGTAGTCCCCTCATTTTCTATGGGAGATTGATCATGTTGTCTGTTTTTTTTTTTTGCGTTGCCGAGTGGCTTCTAGGGACTGAGGTTTGGCATGATCCAGCCTTTGTCTCTTGAGAGGAGCTCGAGTGATTCCTTTTGTTGTGTTGTGATCAAAACTCCCCTCATATGAGTTAGGAAGGAAAAGGTCTAGGTCGGACTCAGGAGCTATGCAACGTTTTGGCATCGTCTGCCATATAGTCACCTTGACTTTGACACACTCCCTCCCCTCATATGATATTTTAGTAAATTGAGAATTATTGAATTTTATCAAAACTTTTATGATGTTGAAAGAAGCCTATTGATTTGCCAGGGAGTGCCTTGTATTCAATTTGCTCTCCTTACAGAACCAAGGAAAGTGCCCTTGTAAGTCAGTGAGTCAGCACATTCAGCACCTCAAGATCTGGTATCGGCTTGGGGAATGGATCAGGAAACTATGCCGGGTCGGGGATGAGACCCTTTCATAACATAACAGGGTCTTTGGTGGGATATAGTCGTTTCATCTCTCGTTCTCTTCCCATTACCTAGGTATATTAAGAGAATCAATTCTGACATTTAGACCTACAACTATATCTCCCCTATCCTACAGTGACCAAACCTTACACCTCAGCGCTTGACCAGACCTGGAGCCACTTGTGTCAGTCCACTAAAGTTCACTGACTGCACTGCGCTACACTGGATGCCTCCCAAACGCACAGCCAACCAACAGCACCAGGCGCGTCGCACATCGCGTCGCACAGCCGCACGTCAGTATTCGCCATCCAACATCGAGGACAACCAGCAAGACTCGCCGTCGCTGCCACTACCACCATCGCCGTCATCGCACAGAGATAACCAGAAGACCCAAGGGCGTGGACGCGGACTCGGACTCGGACGTGGCCGTGGGCAGGCTCGCTCGACCCAGCAGCCGCCAGCAGCAGCGACAACGCCCATCCCTAGCCCAGCCGCCAGTGCCAGTCAGCAGCGCCCACATCAACCCTCCTCCGACGCTCGCGACAGCGACATGGCCAGCCTCGCCGCCCAGAACGATCCCCTCCGATCCTCAGACCTCGTCGCGCCCGAAATCTCCTACCATGTGCCCCAGCATCTCCCCCAGCAAATGACCAGTCCCTTCTCCTCCGCCCTGGTCAGGCCACACGGGCCTCCACCACCCGTCCAGCAGCCCCGTCTGCCTCCCGCCGTCGTCACCCCGGTCCCTCCACCCAGAATACCGACCCAGAACCCTCCTCCACAACCTCCCCCTCCTCCTACGAACCCCTCGGCCGCCGCCGCCAACCACCAGCCCCCGAGGGCAGACCGCAACATCGATAAAGTCGTGTTGGGCGACCTCTGCTTCCGAACATGGTACCCCAGCTACTACGGCAAGGAGCTGCTCGGCGACCCGTCAGCGACAGCCCCCAAGCCCGCCGGAGGCGGCGGCGGCAAGGACGACAAGGCAGCTAAGAAGGACCGCGACCACACCCCGCCCATGCTCAACAGGCTGTACGTGTGCCCGAGCTGCTTCAAGTACTCGAGGGAGATTGTCGCCTGGTGGGGCCACAGCAAGGTGTGTCCCCTCCGCGGTAAAGTGCCCGGGCGCAAGATATACTCCCACCCGCGCGGGCGGCGGACCAGGCTCGTGCCGCAGGGTGGCAGGACGAGTCTGGGTGCTAAGAGGAGGCGCGGGGATGGCGGGGTCAGGTACGTCGAGGAGACGGTCCAAGACGAGGGGGAATGGAGCATCTGGGAGGTTGACGGCGAAGTAGACAGGGTAAGTTCCTTCGTTGGTGGGGTGGAAACTACAACCTACTCTCTTACTTTCTTGTCATCGTATTAGTTTACTAACCGGTTTGTCTTTGGGGTCTATAGTTATTCTGCCAGAACCTCTCCCTCTTCGCGAAGCTCTTCCTGGACAACAAGTCCGTCTTCTTCGACGTCGGGGCATTCAACTACTTCCTCCTCGTATACACACCGCCGCCGCCCCCAAACCCTCACCCGATACCGAACGACCCCAATTCAGTCCCTGAGCCCAGACCACAGATCACCGGCTTGTTCTCAAAGGAGAAACTATCATGGGATAACAACAACCTCGCTTGTATATTGGTCTTCCCGCCGTGGCAGCGAAAAGGGCTGGGCGCCCTGCTCATGGGCGCATCCTACGAGATATCCCGCCGGGAAGGGCTCCTAGGTGGGCCAGAGAAACCGATCTCCGATCTGGGTAAGAAGGGCTACATGCGATTCTGGGCCGGCGAGATTGCCCGGTGGCTGCTAAGCTTAAAGGTCGGCCAGGGTTCCGACCACGACGGTAGCCCTCGAGAGACGATAGTGGACATCAAGGAGTGCAGCGAGGCGACGTGGATCGCTCCTGACGATTGCCTATTTGTTCTCCGGGATATGGGCATTGTTGAGGACGCTGGCGTCGGCCCGGGGAAGCCAGAAAAGACGGCTGAGGACGAGGCCGGTGAGGAAGGCGAGCAGAAGCAATCAGACCAGCATAATGGCCAGGGGTCCGCGGTGGAGAAGCCAGAGGTCAAGCTGGTTCCCAGAGTCCGAGTTGACAAGGCGGCTGTCCGGCGGTATATAACAACCCACCGTCTCAGCCTGGAGAAGGTATGCGATCCGGATGGCTTTGTGGAGGGCTATGCCATGAAACCAGAGAGCGGTACTGGGTCTGGGGAGGAGCAGACGGACGGAGGTTCAGATGAGTAAAGATTGCTATAAAAACTATGATACCCCGAGATGATATGAGAGCTTCCAACTGGAAAGGGGCAACATGGATGGCGTGCGGTTTGCAATAGAGCCCGGTAAACATTGGATTTATTCTGGGCTTTTCTTAGTGTTTAATATTGTGTAGAAATTACTCAGGAACTTGCGCTATTGTGTACATCGATAGCTATTGTGTCTTAGTAAAAGGCCCCGCTGGGGATATCAACAGGGTGAAGAAGGAATAAATATGAGTTGCTCTCAAACTCTTGCTCGATAAAGGTGCACCCCATCAAACAACGGATCGGAACAAGACTTCAAAACCACAGGGCCTCACTATAACAATCACACTAAGCACGGTTGTAAGCAGATCCCGCTACTGCAGAGGAGAGCCGTCTTCTATCCCGGCTTTAGGGTGGAATAGCTCACTAGAGAGCTTCGAGAGATTTTAAGGTATGCGACGGCAGATCGGAACCAAGCAGCTAAAGACGGGTTTCGCAAGCGCTTGGTATTCAACACAGTCAATTTGACGTCAACGGCGCCAATTGGACAAACCATAACTCAATATACCCCTAACACGATGGCAGGATTGGGTTATTGATGTCTACAATCTCCTGCTATACGGGCATAAGGAGATGTTGAAATAATTCTACCCCATAGCTTACCCTATAACATCCGAAGGAACATTTTCGCTTGATAGATGATGGCTGAGTCAGCAAGGCGGCACACCTCTCCAAATAAGCTTCGCGCTTCTCCCTCCTGCAGGGACAAGAGGTTCTGCTTAGGCCTCGTTCCCGAGAAATTATCGGGCCCCTGTTCGCGGGCAGTATCTGGCCAAGACAAGGGCGGATGCTAGATCTAGCATGGGAGCAGCACTGAGTTGTCGTCCAAGCGAATCTCGGGGGAACCGCCTGGTCTAGATCTTGCGGTGCGAAGTTTACGGCTACCTAACTTTTTAACTTACTTGACTTATAGTAAGGCTAGAGCTCCCCTTCATTCGTCGCTGCATCCCAATTGCATCAGCACCTGGGGATGGTGGGAGGAGCACAAGGGCCTGGTCGAATATTAGCTCAGCCCAGGTAGTATCCAGTGGCCACATGATGCAATGCAGCCTTCTGAAGCAATGGCGGTTCAGAGGCCTGGCGACATAGTTAAAACGAGGCAAAATTTTGCTAGCCGACCGTCCCGGACGGTTCACGAGTCATTGCCCGTTTGGGCTGCCGTCCGTCCGATGCCGCGTCTGATTGGCTGCGCATCGAGGCTCTGGTGTCTCATTGCAGCATCTGCGATCTTGCAGTCAATCGCAACCGATTGTCGACTCCTCACATTTCTCAATATGCCGTCCCAGCGTAGATGAATCGGAGGGAGAAGAAAGACTCGTGCGTGTCCGCCAATTTGTCGGTGCTGTCTTGCGTTTATATACACTATTGGTGCCGGTGGGCTGTTAGTGGGCGTGCGGCCGGCAGGTTTGGTGCTGAAGCCCCTATTCGGAGCAGTGGACGTGCCAGCCGGAGAAGCATAATATCTGAGATCTGCGGTTGCATTGCAGCCCAGACTCATCAACATCTGGCATGGTTGGGAATCACAGGTGCTTGCGCTCGGCCGGATGCCAGAATTATTGCAATTACGAGCTATGTGGGAGAACCTGCTGGCTTCTTATACCTGCAGCGCCTGATGCCTCCAGCGCCCGTTCTGCGGTCAGACCAAACATGGCCTTATCTCTGCCCTGAATCATGGTGGGACGCAGTCTCAAGCCCGGGATCCACCCACGTGCCAGTTCTTCCCCTTGATTTGTCCTCTGGGAGCATCGATGAGGTAAAGTGGGGCATCAGATCGAGCATTGGTAGAGAAAATATCAAACCTTGAAGAAAACATAAACCTGAGGCTCCAAACAGTACCTTTAATTCCCGAAAATTGTTTGCCTGTTCATGCCTCAGACAGCAACATCTGAAATGAACAGAAGTAAATTTTTCCTCAGCTCCCACCCCTTGCTTGGTCTAGCATGTACCAGCGCCTGTATCTCATCACGTCAGGGGTAGGTACTTACCTGGACGGTATCTCATCCTGTCATTGCCAATGTCGTCGTTTTGATGGCTTGCCTGTCTGTAAATCCGTACTTGTAGACATCGTAGGCGTGCTTCCTCATCCGCTCCGCAAAGCATTAATTCGGCTCTTGAGGCCTTTTCCTCGCTCGACCACCAACCACCCCGGTTCGTGCGATCCATCGCGGAGCAGCTAGCAAGCTGGTTACCATGACTTATGGTCCACTCCATCAAAGCGCTGAAATCAGTGCAATCATGGCCCTGCATTCTTCCATTCGTACCCACCCGACTTCCCCCGACAGGTTACTCGCCAGTCAGAGTGTCCACCAGGCGTCAAATTTGCACCTACCTCAGCGTCGTCGCACCGTTTTCACTGTGAGCGAATTGTATGTCTTGCCCACCGCTTCCCGCTGACCACCAGCTTCGTTGCTTCTTCGTACCGTATATTGCCCGGGGCTAGTTAGCCCCCTGGTTTCTCCCGTTCGAGTGGGACCGCAACTTTCTCTTCCGACCTGTGGACTCCTCTTTCTCTTCCCTTTTCCCTCAACTCTGTCCTCTCTTCTTTGCTGAGCTCCCTCCATCTTTCTTTCGCAACCATCCATCCCAACTCCATCTTCACACCACCAATACACCTTCTCCCCTCCTCACAACAGTCACAATGGCCGCCACCCGTGTTGTCGCTTCCCGCCTGGCCTCCCAGATGGCCGTCAAGGCCGCTCGCCCTGCCATGCGTGCTCCCGTCGCTGCCTCCAAGCGCGCCCTGAGTGAGTAAAATCTTTTCAAGCTCCAATTGAGCCGACAGACGGTTTCCAGGAGCCTTCCGGCTTGGCCAATTGGACAGGACAGCAACTAACGCAACCGATGAAGGCACTGCCAGCCCCATGCAGGCTCTCCGCCGCCAGCAGGCTTCCACCATCCTCAACGCCACTGCCCGCAACGCCGTCCAGCGCCGTGCCTACTCTTCCGAGATCGCTCAGGCTCTCGTTGAGGTCTCCAAGAACATCGGTATGGGTTCCGCCGCCATTGGTCTGACTGGTGCTGGTATCGGTATTGGTCTCGTCTTCGCTGCCCTCCTCAACGGTGTTGCCCGCAACCCTGCTCTCCGTGGCCAGCTCTTCTCCTACGCCATTCTGGGTTTCGCTTTCGTCGAAGCCATTGGTCTTTTCGACCTGATGGTTGCCCTCATGGCCAAGTTCGTAAGTGTTCACCGAAGAACCAAAATTCCCGCAAATTTCTCCGGGATTCCGAGACCGAATACTGACTCCGTTCCCAGACCTAAATTGCTTCCTCACCCTGAATGGGAACAGCTGGCATCGAACGACCGAGCTCGAATTGAGAGGAAGCCTTACCGAGCTCGTTTCCTTGGTGTGAAGTTTAATGACTTGTTGCATGGTTCGGTGCAAGCAGTTCGAGAAAAAGGGAGGGCCTGCATTGTAACAGACGCGGATAGACTCTGGGAAAGAACGCCGTATGAAGGTGTATCGTCTTCGTGATAGAGTTGGGAAACCCTCGGTTTTCTTCCTAGGGGACCATTTGTAAAATAAAAAAAGCCTCATCCAACTCGATTCTTCATATACGAAGAACTTTTCTTTTGTCACTCAAATCAACATCTCTATGCCATAATTTGAAACTTGTCAAATGTGACATGAGAGTCAAGCATCCTAGCTCCACCGATTTTGCCTGGCTCGGTTGAGGGGACTTGATAGAAGCTCTCTCCGCAATCTGAGGCAAATCTGCATCCATGCCGTCTGTAGCCGATCAGAGTTCCTCAACTCCAGATTCTGGGATATATTCTGACACTAAGCCCAACGCCATAACCGAGGTTCCGGCAAATCTGTGACCATTCCGGTCTGGAGATCTGGCACCAGGATTTGGCTGCAATAATGGCTCGACTGCGACACGTAGCAAAACCTGGTGCCTATAATCCTAGGCAAGCATCTAGGCACGAAGTCTCAGGCAAGGAGGAGGGATTCAGGCGATCCACACGGTGCCAAATTGACCATCCTGCTATGAATGACACCATCTGGGGCAGAGGGAGAAGGAAGCCAATGATGGGGTATGGCCGCATGGGCTGAGGATGAGAGTGGATCAGGAGATCTCTCAATGTTGTTGATAAGTAGGGGCCTTTCACCCCCGCTGAGTGGCCTGGAGAACTTTCTTGCGAGCGATTGTCGGTATTTTGAGCTGTGATTTTTCTCTTCACTCGAAATTGGTAATTTTCGAGATTCGTCGAACGGGATTCCTCTTGATGTACCATTTTTGCGGCTCCCGACATTTGAGAGCAGCTGTTGGTGGTTGAAAACACAGCCAGTGATCTTTAAAGCATGTGTACTAGTGCTAACAGGGAGCTTTGTGGTGGTTCCAAATCCGAACAAATCACAGTGATCGATGTCACAACATCGCGCCCAAATCATGAGATTTTGGACCAAACCACGACAAAAAAATTTATCCCGAGAAGTTCAGAGCCGATGAAGTAAATTACCGGAAATCAGGAGACCTCCCACCCCAAAAATCAAAGGTTAGGGGTTCGGAGTATGTCTTCTTCCTCGATTAACGGAATTTCAGGCGATCAGCTTGGACTTTAGGAATTTTCCTCTCGCACTTGTATTGATGGTTGGAAGTCGCGACGTCGCCCTGGGACTCTGCCAGTGGTGATTGTGAAGAGAGAGGAAAAGAAGGATGGAGGGAATTGCCAATTTCTTGTTGCACCTTTCGTTCCTTTGAAAAACAAGAGACAGACGCATCGACTCACCAATCAAGGACTGTCCGAAAACCCGATCTTATCAAGGGAATCAACCAACATCTTATCGCGCCGCAGCTTGCTGATTCGACTCTGCCAGGAGGGTGAGATGAGACCCACCAAGACCTGGGGAAACCTGGAGAGGCGGTTGCTGGCGGTGATTGATCGCGGAATGTGCTGGGCCGTGCGCACCACCAAGGCATCGCCGTGAACGCGACGCCTCGTTGCGCTCGAGGGCGTATTCACTCGTGCCCTCGCCGGATCGAATCCCAATTGATCTGGAGGGCTCTGGACGCTGTCATAGCGGAGGATTTCGTGCTCGCCTCCTGCTTGTAGGCAGGAATCACACGACACCAGACCCACACGAGAGTGGGAATTTTGGCCTCTGCCCCGGATTTTCAGAGAGACTAGGGTGAATCGAGTCCGCTCAGGAATGGGTTCGACTGCACCTCATCTGGCACTTGGAGCAGCGCACGAAGATGTTCACGGGTTCTGGGAGTCAATTGATGAGGACGGCACCCATGGGGAAAGATGAATGAAGGAGAAAAGAAGGAGATGGGGTCCCCATCCCCCCCTCTCCTTCCTTCCCCTCACTCAAATCACATGACCTGTGCAGGCAGGAATGAGTTGAATCCAATCAGCGCTGCTGCAGGTCTCAAGGGGAGGAAACCGACCGGGGGCGATGTAGCATTTTATTACGTGTCGGGCACGGTATAGAACAAGATGAGCGCTCGGAGGCTGGTTGTTTTGTTTTTCGGCCCTTTGGTGAGGCTGCTCGTCTGGACGGGAGTCCCTGAATCAGCAGGCGGACTCGACGGGAGGCGGGAGTGGCGCATCTGTTCCTGAAGGTTATAAGGTCAGGAGGAAGACAAGAAGACAGATGGACGATCAAAGGGGGCGGGGAGATGCTCCCTGGGCGGATGATTTCCCTCGCTGCTTGGCTGCCTCTCTGTGACGCTGGGGGGGCTAGCGAGTGTGGACGGAACTCTAAAGGCATCCATCCCTCTTGGATGGATGCCTGCTAACCTGCCCAATGGCTGCTCGGAGGCCCGGAACCAGACACTTGAGACAGGAAACCTGTCATATTTTGCTTCCGAAACCCAACCGCCTGATGGACTGATCACGGAAATCTGCATTGACACTCAGATCAATTGGGATGGGAAAAATCGGGACAGCATCACATCAGGGATGGGTGCTCGATAGAGGCACTCCGTACGCGTTTTTCGCCCTCCTTCCTGGACTGACTTATAGAGTTGCAGTGCTGCTACGTCGTAATGGGCTTGGTTTACCCCAGGGTCTGTCCTGAGTGGTGGTCAGCCACTCACACCCCAGGTATTAATATTACTCCCACAGTTTTCCTCATGCATAAAAAAGTATGTGCAGGCTATACACGGATAATGTCGTCCCGCTGGACAGTGCTGTGGCAAGCCGTGTGAATAACAACTGCCGCGCAGGCCTGAATGCTACACTGCCAGTGCCGACTGAGACCTCCTACCGCAATCACACGCAGTGTCGTATTCGCCTATGCACAGCGCGTTTTACACACGCCATGGTCAGCGGTTGTTGAGCCATGATTGCAGTCTGCATTGTTTCGTCCATTCCGAACAGATCAATTATATGCCTCGTTCTAAACTAATACACATTTTATTTCTTGAAGGTTCCACTCCTCTCACCCTTAATGGGCAGTGCTTTTCTCGCACCCTTGAGACCATCGTCAGCCGTCTTCGCGTATGGGTCGAAGACCGGCTTCTTGCCATTGCTGTTCGATGCCTCACGGCTGGCGTTCATCACCGACGCCGCCGTGCTGTAGTCGAATGGCACGGCGTTGTATGACTTCTGGTCTCCCTGTTTCTTCTGCTCCTTCTCCAGCTTTCGTTGTGCTTTTAATGCTTTTCGCTCGGCCTTCTTTGCCTGGCGGGCTTGCTCTGCCTCGGCATTTCGCGCCTTGCGCTCTGCTTTCTTAGCAGCCTTCCGTGCTGCTTTGTCTTTCTTGGATTTGGGCTCCCCATCATCGAGGCTAAGCACCCCGGCATCTCCTTGTTCGACTTCGGCGTCACTATCGCCCTCGTCTTCGTCCTCTTCACCCTCATCCTCGCCACCGTTCTGCTCTCCTCCTTCTTCCTCTTCCTCTTCCTCCTCCTCTTCCTCCTCCTCTTCTTTATCAGCAGCTGCTGACTTCCTCTTGCGTCCCTTTTTCAATGTAAATTCATCATCTAGTTCTTCAGTAGCTTCCGCCTTTGCATTAGCATCCATTGGCTCAGACGTGCCAGCCAACCCAGCCTCGTCTGTGGCAGCCATAGCCTGGTCCTCATCGGGCCTTTGTTCGGAATGTTCCTGAAGAAACCGTTGCCACGGAAAGGGAATGTTATCTGCGCCATTGGAGGGTGTTTGTTTTGAATCCTCCCAGCGAGAGCTGATTGGCATATCTCCAAAAAGCCGAGACTTTGCTAACCTGACCATGACGATCTCACTGTCAAACTTCGGTAGAGTATTTGGTGGCGCAGCAAGCCTTGCTGCGCTGCCCTTCTTCAACGCATCTGGGGACAGGGAGGTAAGAAACTGTAGTAGACTTGGCCCGCCCTCGGCCTTTGTCTCTTGTATCCTTTGCCAAAGTTCGGTAAGTCGAGGCTTGACCAAGGGGGCGTTCAGCGGGAGAGAGCTGTGCAGTGCTTTGGGATCTGGCGGGTTGATCCGGGCAATGTCCGAGATGGTGGTCGTTCCGAGGACGAAATTTGGATTTTCGTCCTCCGTTCTCGCAACGTCATCGCGCCATTTCCACAGGGCGCGGAAGACTGCGAATTGCTCCGCATTATAGGCAAGGTGGCCATGCTTGAGGATATAGTTATACCATCCTCTTGACCCTTCTCCAGTAGCCTCATCCAGAGTAGGATGCTCGTATCGCGATAGTGCCAGCTCCTTGGACCTCTGAAGAACCCTGGCTATTAAGTTCGTTTCAGGACTGCTTGAGTCTGAGGCGTTGACAAGCTCGTTCCGTACGCAATCGTAAATGTATAAAAGAAAATGTGTATCGGATCGAGCGTAGTACAACATTTCCTCTGGTAGAGGGCTGAATGGATTGCCTTGTTAGTAAAATGCTAAGACGAGGACGTTGCAGGTTAACATACCGCATTCTCCAATCTGCTAATTGATATTGTTTGTCGGCATCGAAATTAATAAACTTTGATAGAAGGAAGGCGAGACTTCTGGCTTGATAGGCGAGATATTCGCAGGCGAAGTAGGTATCGAAGAGAGCATTCACATAGAGACCGAGATCTCTTTGAAGCCATACCATGTCCATATATGCACCGTGGAAAACCTATGCATTGTTAGTATCCACGCCGACCACACGTCTGGGCTCTATGTCCTACCTTAACAATAGTTGGGTCTGCAAACACTTCGTTCAGAACCTCCAACTTATGGCGCCATGGTTTCAACGTATCAACGATCCAATCCTGGTCTCGAGTGCTGATCTGCATGAGGGAAACGAGTCCGATGTATGTTCGAAAGTCGTGGTGCTCAAGATCAACGGCTATCTCCTT